GTATAAATTATTATATGTGCCTGAGTGTGTTTTTTAAAAAAAGAGCTAAAATGAATAGAGAGAAACATGGTGTATTATTTGTTGAATGTACAAGTGATGATCTACCCTGTAAATTTTCACTCAATTCATAACAAAAACATTTAAAAAAAAAAATCATAAAAAAGAAATAAAAGTAACCACTTAAACCTACAATGAAAAATTTCAGAAGTAAAAGCTGAAATTGTAATTGAATCCATATGGCACATAAACTCAATATGCCATTATTACTGATCTGTCTACATGCAATTATGTGCTTTAAAGCCCCAACCCACTTTTTCATGGTTTTTCTCAAATAAAATAAACATCAGTGCTAAAATGCAAATTAACTTTCACACTACAGTCCTGGTATGGCGCTGTGGGATAATGCACTGGCAACCACAAGGTCTGTTTGAACTGCAAGGTCAGTGGTTCAAATTCACCAGCTGCTCCTCAGAAACACTATACAGAGTCACTATGAGTCAGAATAGACTCGATGACACTTAACAATAATACAGTAATAAAATATGTACATATTAGTTCTTTGTTTTCATTGTTCCTAAACATATAATTAAGAAATTGGTTAAATAATTCATATTCACGCATTCAAACACAACACATATTTACTGATCACTTACTGTGTGCCAGGCATAGCTCTAGGCATTGTAGATATAGAACGGAACAAAACAGCTCTACCCTCATAGAGTTTGATAATCTTTGGAGGAGGGTAGATAAGTATGCATATATGTGCAACAGTGTTGGCAAACAATTTTCCATGGGTCTCTCATGTTTCTGGTAGTGCTGTGGGCTAATGTGCTGGACTGCAAAGTTGTTTGAGCCCCAAGGTTGGTGGTTCAAGCTTACCAGCTGCTACCTGGAAACTGTATACAGAGTTGCTATGGGTTGGAAATGACTCGACAGCTCTTAACAACAACAATAACTCATGTTTCCGCACACCTTGCAAACTCAAGTACTGAGAATCCTTGTCCTGGATTATCTTTTCCAGTGAGTTGAAATGGCAAGAGAGGATGACTTCATTTGTCCTAAGCAACTCATTTTCCAAGTTCCCAGGATATTTGTCCTAGGAACTTGGATACAGAAGACTGAGAAAGAAATTGATTTGAGGTAAAACTCAGGAATTCAGAATTCAGTTATGGGTAAGTTAAGTTTGAGATTCCTATTAGATATCTAAATGGAGATGTTGAGAAGAACTGGATATACGGATATATGAGGGAGCTCCAAAGAGTTTGTTAAAAAAAAAAGAAACCCATTATTTTATTCATTTCTTTTTCGTCCTCTGGACCTAGGTGCCCTCTTGAAAGCTTGTAAGGCTTTATACCCCCCCCCCCCCATTTTAGGTAGCCAATGTCTA